AATTTATTAAAGCGCACCTGGGTGGCTCAGTCAATTAAATATCTGACTCTTGATTTTGCTCAGGTCATGATCTCAGGGTCATGAGTGTGGACCTGCTTGGGATTCTCTCTCTAGCTCTCCCTCTATCACTCCCCCACCCTCCCTCTCTTTCTCTCTCTCTCAAACAAATAAATATATATATAAATAAATATAAAATCTAAAATAAAAGATAATAGTTATTTTTCAGTAGTCTATACACCTTGAAAAAATTTTATATATCGTTTTGTCATCCTATCTCCTGTCTCGGTAGCTTCAATGGTGGATTCTACCAAACTTTAAATAAAACAATAATATGTGTTCCATACAAACTCTTCTAAAAAGAACAGAAGAAAATGTTCTCAACTCAATCTATTAGTCCACCATTTCTTTGAGACTTAGCTTATAGATTATACTAGCTTATCTGAACATTCCTTAGGACTTTCTATATAGACAATCATTTCACTGTGAATACAGTTTTTAGTTCTACTCCTTAATGTGAGTTTAGCATTACTGTAGGATATAAGATCAATATATAAAAATCAATTGATAGACACTGGGGAGGGTATATGCTATGGTGAGCGCTGTGAATTGTGCAAGACTGTTGAATCTGTACCTCTGAAACAAATAATGCAATATATGTTAAAAAAAAAAAAAGAAGAAGAAGAAGATAGCAGGAGGGGAAGAATGAAGGGGAGAAATCAGAGGGGGAAATGAACCACGAGAGACGATGGACTCTGAAAAACAAACTGAAGGTTCTAGAGGGGAGGGGGGTGGGAGGATGGGTTAACCTGGTGATGGGTATTAAAGAGGGCACGTTCTGCATGGAGCACTGGGTGTTATGCACAAACAATGAATCATGGAACACTACATCAAAAACTAATGATGTAATGTATGGTAATTAACATAACAATAAAAATTTAAAAAATCAATTGCATAGTTTGTACTAGTAACTAAAAATAAAAATTAAATTTTAAAAATTCCCTTTGTAATATCACAATATCTTAAAATTATAAACCAATTAAGAATGACTGTAGCAAGATATAAAGCATACATGTACTCTGAAAGCAAAATATTTGTTAAAGAATATAAATACATTAATAAATAGAAAAAATACTGTGTTAATGGACAGATGACTCAACATTATTAAGAGCTGAATTCCCCCCAGAGGAATCTCCAGATTCAAGCATTCTCGAACAAAATTACAGACACATATTTAAAATTTTTCCAAACTGATTTAAAACTCATATGGAAATACGAGGAGCCTAAATTACTTCCCACAACTTTAAAAAAGGACAAAGTTGGAGAACTTACACTATCTGATTTCCAGTGATGTTGCAAACTGATGTTCAAAATGATGTGGTATTTTCATAAAGAGATCCCAGAGATCAACAAAGCAAACTAGAGTCCAGTAGTAGACGCACACATATATGGTCAATAATTTCAGCAAAAGTCTGCAGTCAATTCAGTGGTGAAAAAGTAGCCTTTGCAACAAATGATAGTGAAAATATTGGCCATCTATATCTACCGCAAAAAAAAAAAGGCAAAAAAACCTTTTATCTATGCATCACACCTGTACAGATTTATTTAAAATGGATCTTAGAGCTATATGTGAAATGTAGAAGTTAAAAAAAATTTGGTATAAAATATATGAGAAGATCTTCATGACCTTGGATTACAAGAAAAATTTTCTAAACATGTGTGAACGAAAAAGTGTCCAAATAGGGGCGCCTGGGTTGTGAAGTTGGTTCAACACCTGACTCTTGGTTTCGGGTTGGGTGGTGATCTCGGGGTCCTGAGATCAAGCCCTCTGCAGGGCTCAGCACTCAGCGTGGACTCTGAGAATTTTTCTCCCTACTGCCCTTAGCCATGTGATTGTTTTATCTTTCTCACTCTCTCTCTCTCCCTCCCTATAAATAAATCAATCTAAACAAAATTCTCCATAAATAAATGATGATTTGCGCTTCATCAAAACTAAAACTCTGCAGCAGAACTAGTATATAAACAGGGATGAATTAAACAGTTGAGGATGTGACTGCAACTTGTATCCTTCTCTAAGGGTTGTCCAAGTGTGTACAGGGAGAAGGTTAGAGATATGACCAGCTATTTCCTCCTGTAGATTGGTACAGGTTAGCTCTTGAGTGCAGCTTTGTCAACACCGGGCATAACACTGATGTAGACAAGCTCTAAATCACTGGGTTGTAATGTTCCTTAAGATGAAGTGCTAGGATCCTTCATTTCCTCAGAATTATTAAACATTTAAAGCCCCGAGGAAGAAATAAACTAGAATAACACATTTCCTTGCGTCAATTGCTTACTGGCTATTTGAGCTAGTTATTCAACCTCTAGAACCTTCTGTGTTTTTATCTACATACTAAAGCTAATAATAATATGTGTGTCAGAATATGTATTATTATGATAAATAATATGATGAACTTAATCCACCCAACAAACTCTCAGTGACATTCTTTGGCAAAGTAGATTATAAAATTTGATTTCTTGACACTTCTTGCACGAGAAATTTACATGCTTGGATTGGCGTATGTAGAGAGAGACTGACTGGCTTTGGTGCAAGCAGATGTGACTGTGTCTAAACAACCTGTGAATAGTCAGTGAGCAGAGAAAGAACCAGATGGGAAACACATTAAAGGCTTTGCTGTACTTAGCTTCTTTTCTCTAATTTTACCATATCTTTTTTGCATTTCCTCCCTGCCAACATACATGATATTGCTCATTTTATTGATCTACCCATTCTACACATGAAGATGATCTTTATTCTAGTAGAGAAGTTGGTCATTTTAAGTTCATGGCCTTTCAAACTTTAGACTGAAAAATGTTTTATGATGTTCTTTCAAAGCATAAAATCCAATCTTGCAATAGTTTTGTTTCTTTATTAGTAACTGTTGAGGAGGCAGTTTGTCCAATTTCTCTTTGTTATAAAAACTCTACTTAATTTTTTCTCCCTCATCATTTTTTCCTGCTTTTCCTGCTTCTTTGCACAGTGCCCCCAGAATGCTTGTGGTACATGCTCGCATTTACTTAATGTAAAAGCATGTTCCTTTTCGTAACATTCCACTACCCAGTCCCTTCTCTGTCATAATTTCTGTGTGTCTTAAGAGATCTTATTTTACGTGCTATGAAGCACGAGCAAAAAGACTTTCATTAAAGTTGTAAGGTTTTAAAGTGTTATCTGTTTTCACTAGAAAATCTTTTTTCAGAAGACTCTTCATTTAGTTACAAGATGACTTCCTTTAGGTACTGTGCTGCAATGTATTTTGTGATTAATAAACTTTGTTTTTTAGAGCAGTTTTACTTTCTCTGCAAAATAGAGCAGAAACCACAGAGATCCCATACACTGCTGTCCCCCTCACTGGGACAACCTCTCCCTCCAGAGTTCTACATGTGTTACAACCAAATGAACCTATACCGACACATAACATTTTCCAAAATTCAGGGACATACAGAACAGCTTCACTACCTAAAAATCCTCTGTGCTCCACCTACTCATCCCTCTCCCCTCCCTAAAACTTGGCATCCACTGACTGCTCTTTTTGCTGTTTCCATAGTCTTGCCCTTTCCAGAATGTCCTATATATAGAAGGCCCCCAACTTACAATGGTTTGACATGTACTTTTCCAACTTTACGATGGTAAAAAAGTGATATACATGCAGTGGAAACTGTACTTTGAACTTTGAATTCAGGTCTTTTCCCGGGCTACTGATATGCAGTACAATCCTGGTGATGCTGGGCAGGGGCAGCAAGGTGCAGCTCTCAGTCAGCCAAGCAATCGGGAGGGTCAACAATCAAAAAACTTACAACCACTCTGTACCCATATAGCAATTATAGCAATTCTGTTTTTCACGTGAATATTTAGTAAGTTACATGAGGTATTCTATGCTTTCTTACAAAATAGGCCTTGTATTCCATGACTTTGCCCAACTCTAGGCTAAAAATGTAAGTGTTCTGAGCACAGTTATGGTAGGCTAGACTAAGCTATGAGGTCTGGTAGGTTTGGAGTATTCCATGCATTTTGACTTAAGATATTTTCAACTTCTGGTGGGTTTATTGGGACATAACTCCCTTGTAAGTTGAGGAAGACCTGTAGTTGAAATCATACAACAGGGAGCCCCTTCACATTGTGTTTTTTCTCTCTGAAATATGCATTTAAGTTTCTGCATATATTTTCTTACCTTACTAGCTCAGTTCTTTTTAGTGCTGAATAATATTCCATTCTCCAGATGTACAGTAGTTTATTTATTTATTCACCTACTGTAGGGCATCTTGGTGGCTTCCAAGGATTGTTGATGATGAACACATCTGCTGTAAACATCCATGTGTAACCAAAATGAATTAATTTTTTCATTTACTTTGTGGTTAAATCACATCTTATTTATCCTTTGCTAGTTCTCTCTCTCTCTCTTTGTCATTGCAGTAGGAAAAGTCTTTGGTTGTGGATCCAAGGACTAATCATTTGGTTATCAAATTTAGACAGGTAGGGGTGAGCAACACATAAATTTTAAATATAGTTCTTTAACTTTAGGGGAAATGATAACTCTTGCCAATAGGTGGAATGCCAGGAAGTGTGTTTCAGCATTCTGAATTATAGATTCTCACTCTGTCTTCACTATTTATTATATCAGGAGAGTTGATCCCCCCGCCCCAGGAACCATTTTAAAACAGATTCTACTTGGGACATCAGGGTCGCTCAGTCGGTTAAGCAACTGCCCTCAGCTCTGGTTGTGATGCCAGGGTCCTGGGATGGAGCCCTGCATCAGGATCCTTGCTCAGTAGGGAGTCTGCTTCTTTCTCTCCCTCTGCCCTCGCCACCAGCTCTGGCTTGTGCTCATGCTCCCTGGTACACTATCTCTCTCTCTCTCTCATATGAATAAAGAAAATCTTTTAAAAAAATAAAAATATAAAATACAAAACCTACACTAAATGTTTATTTCTTTACACAACTGATTTCTGTATGAACTAGAGGATATATATATAAATATTTCTAAGAAATTTAAATTAAATCTTATAGTTTTAGATTGTAGCTTTTTTTTTTTTTCCGATTACAACTTCTGAACTACCAAAGGATGTCTGTCATTGAGTGGTCTGGCCTCTATTTCCAATGTTTTAATAAAAGCGTCATTAAAATATTTTCCTTTAAAATTCACAAACTAATATACCATTTTTTAAAATTTATTTTTTTGTTCTGGTTCAATTGTTTTTCATGAAGTTTCCCCCACAAATACCATCTTAGTAACCCATAAATTTAACTTAATTACCAGTTAATTTTGGTATGCAATAATAAGGACTTGCTCAATGATCACTTTGAACTTGTAGAGCTATTGCTTCCATTCACGCAGCTGGGGAGTGAGTCTAATGGTCCACAAACCCCATGAGATAATCCCTGCTATTTTCACTCACATCTCCCTCTTTTCCTTCTCAGAGTTGCTTAGCCAATAAACTTCTTCAAATTAACTGTGTGCTTCATTTGAACATAGTGATGGGCACCAAACCTTTCTCATGGCTTTTTTCATCTCTGAATGTCTCAGAGTATAGATTAGGGGATTGAACATAGGAGCAATGATGGTATAAAATAGAGCAAATACTTTGTCCTCAGGAAAAGTAGTAGGTGGTCTAAGGTAGATAAAGATTACAGGCCCAAAAAATAAGATGACCACAGTGATATGAGACCCATAGGTGGAGAGGGCTTTGCGTCTTTCCTCAGCTGAGAGATTTCTTAAAGTGAACAATATTATCCCATAAGAAACAAATAAAACAATAAAGACTACTAAGCCAAACATACCTGAAAAGGCAACCACAAGGACACCAGTGATGTACGTATCAATGCAGGCCACCTTTAGCAAAGGAAAAACATCACAGAAGTAGTGATCGATTTCATTAGGACCACAGAAGGGCAAGCCAATTGCAGTGGAAAATAGAGGAAAGGCATGGACGGCCCCACCAGCCCAAGTAGCTAAGAGGAGATTGCACCTTGTCCTGTTCATGGTAATCACATAGTGGAGAGGTTTGCAGATGGCAGCATAATGATCAAAGGCTATGGCGGTAAGAATGAAGATCTCAGTGCCTCCAAAGAAGTGCACTGTAAGGACCTGTAACATGCAATTACTGTAAGAGATGGTTTTTCTTTGGACTAGCAGGTCAGCAATTAACTTGGGTGTAACCGTCAAGGTGTAGCAGATGTCCATAGAGGATAAGTGCCTGAAGAAGTAGTACATGGGTTGATGAAAAAGAGGGCTGCATTGGGGCGCCTGGGTGGCTCAGTCGTTAGGAGTCTGCCTTCGGCTCAGGTCATGATCCCAGGGTCCTGGAATGGAGCCCCACATCGGGCTCTCTGCTCAGCGGGAAGCCTGCTTCTTAGTCTCCCACTCCCCCTACTTGTGTTCCCTCGCTTGCTGTCTCTCTCTCTCTGTCAAATAAATAAATAAAATCTTAAAAAAAAAAAAAAAGAGGGCTGCATCGAATGGAGACAAGGATCAGAAGGTTTCCTGCCAACAGGGCAACATAACAGAATAAGAGCACAAAGCAAAATATTTCTATGTTCTGGTCATATAAAAGTCCTAGAAGTAATACCTATGTTATTGATACTCCTCAAAAAGATTTGAGATGGCAAATAGTTGACAGCTAGGGCATTTTTAGAATGGTCTGTACCGTAAGACATCAATTCTATTTTAAATTACTATTCAAAATTCTAACCTCATAAGTGTAGAAATTTTCAATTTGTTCCTACTTTGCTTTCAGGATCTATAACAAGGATCCCTAGCCTCCTTTATATAACAAAATAATATAATTATGTCACAGAGGGTTCAGCAGTTAACTGTAACTAAGGAGTACTGAAAAGCTTAAGAGTGTGAGGATCGTTGACCTATCTTCTACTTACTGCAACTGATACTAATCTTTGTTTATGAGGTAGAAACAATGTTAATTTTTCAGATATACCTAATTACTAAAACAAATTGATGTATAGGCAACATTTATCTAAGTAGACTTGGACAATAGAAGTATGGAAATCACTGGACCAATTCAAATCTCTGATTCTAAACAGAAGAGACATATCAAGAGAATTTAAGTAATTTCTCAGGATTTTAAAGTAACACACTGTAAATACGAAAAGACAGAAATCCTGTTTCTTCCTCAATCTGGGGTTATCTTTCTTTTTTTGTTTGTTTTTTTTTTAAATTTTATTTTCTTTTCTTATGTTAGTCACCATACAATGCATCATTAATTTTTGATGTAGTGTTCCATGATTCATTGTTTGCATATATCACCCAGTGTTCCATGCAATGTGTGCCCTCCTTAATACCCATCACCGGGCTAACCCATTCCTTCACCCTCCTCCCCTCTATCCTCAGTTTGTTTCTTGGAATCCATAGTCTCTCATGGTTCATCTCTCCCTCCAATCCCCCCCCCTTCATTTTTCCCTTCCTTTTCCTAGTGTCCTCCATGCTATTCCTTATGTTCCACAAATAAGTGAAACATATGGTATCATATGGGGCTATCTTTCAAGGGAGAGACCTGAGAGGGATGTCATGAAGGACAGTAGGGAAAAACTCTTTTGATTCTTCCTCTGAGCAGAAAAGAATATGCAAGACAATGGGTTGACCAACACCCCGTCTGCCTTTTTGAGAATGTATGTAAGTAAAGAGGTACAGAACATTTAATACACACATGTATTCTTGGATTTGCTGATTCTAAAACATTTGAAATAATTTGCCTTCAGTTTTACAAAAATGCAAATTCCTCATCAGGATTCCTGCTTGTTTTCTAGATCATCATTGGAATTTCATCTCCAATAGCTCAAAACCCCAGCCTGTATTCTGAGGAAACTTGCTCTATGATCAGTGCTGTTAGCAAAGGTAAAAGGGAAGAGGGAAAGTCAGTTGAGGAGAATTGCTGTCATAAAACAATAAAATGATACCGAGGACCCCTCCCATGGAACTACTGAAGTCACAATTGGTAAATAAAGAACATCAGGCAACCACTGAACAAGTGGTTGAAACAGTAGCAACACAGAAAGGGGCAGAAACGCTGAGGCATCTCAAATCAACTGACCAGTGTGATCCTGGAGCAAATGGCTTCATCTCTCTTTAGGCCTCCTCTTCCTCATTTCGCAACTAAGCTATCATTACAAAATTCAGAATTTTAGTGAGGAATACATGAGGTAACATGAAATAGCCAGGGACATGTGTGGTTCAAAACTGTCATTTTCTTTTACAGTCTTTCATCTCTGAGTGATTAGGTTAGGACCACAGACCATCATGCGTGCACACACACAATCAATGGGAAAATAAAGGAAATAAAAAAGAACATTTACAACATGGATTTAGCAAGTATGATCATGACAAACTCCAATTTCAACAATCTCTTACTGAAACTGTGTTAATAATATCTTAATCAATGGGTTATCTTAGCCTGTTTTTTAACACTAGTCACTAGTCTATTTTTTTCTCTACAAAAATGTACACAAACACTTACTTTTTGGTATTATTTAATACAAATTATGTGTACCTTTTTGAAAATGCTGTTTATGAAGGAATACAACCTGTCATATTTAAATAAAAGTTTCTACCACAGATTCAAACTTTCCCTTAATGTAACAGAATGTAGGGTGCCATAAACTTACCATGGTTGACTCAGATGAAACTACTCTATTTTAGTCAGGCAGATGTTTTGTAATATAAGAAATTCTTTGTTATTATACATATTCAAGCACAAACTGGTCTGTTTCTTTTTTTCAAAGATTTCATTTATTTATTTGAAAGAGAGATAGAGAAAGAGAGAGAGTGCACAAGCAGGGGGAGAGGGAGAAGGAGAAGCAGGCTCTCCAAAGAGCAGGGAGCCCGATGTACCCTGGGATCATGACCTGAGCAGACGGCAGATGCTTAACAGACTGAGCCACCCAGGTGCCCAAACTCATCTTTGCTTAATAGGAATATGGAGGACTGCTTGTATTCAAGAGTTGGGGACACAATGAAATTCACTGCCAACTTGAAGATAGTTTATCTAAATCTACTGTTTTGCTCCCCAAAAGGGAGAATTTCGCTTATAGCTAATGTGCCACTAAAACTAAAGCTTGCTGAAACATTTTTATAGTAATAAATTGTCATATGCTGCAAGAGAAGTTATATGCTTTAGAATGAAATTATATAGAAGTAACATAAAGAACACACAGTTAGCCTAGCACATGTGTGGTGGGACCCTTCCCAAACCAAGGTGACAAGGGTAATTCACTAACCATAAGATCTGAGTGGCTGTCTGGTTAGTTTTGGGGCTGCATCAGGAAGCATTCCGTCCTCAGGTAGTAACTCTGCCAGTTTGTCTCTAGTACCAAAATCTGGAATCAAATGCGAAGAGTTACAAACCCAGATTTCAAACACATCCAGATGAATTCTCTGCAAATATTTTGACTATTTCAACACTTCTTAAATTTCTACAGTTTATAAGAGAAGTGGACTTCCAGGATTCACTAAGACTCAGTGATGCAAGAAGTAGATCTTCATCCCTCAGGAAAGCAGGTGAGAATTATGAAAGCTGATTTAGCTGCCCAATGATAGTGCTGAAGAAAAATAGGCAAAATGGGTTTTTATATTCCTGCAAAACTTAACACGAGTATTTAGGTCCTAGGAATCATCCCTTTATTTTATGCCTATGCCTGAAGATAATATGGTTCAGAGAAACAGAATACAAACTTATGTGGCAATATGATGATTAATAGGTCTTTGAAATCTTTACGTAATTATATTCCCAGGGGCATTTCCAGACAGGTCTTGGCCCAAGTGTTGCAAAGCCGTCATCACATTAATGTGCTTGGTGCTCTTGGCTATAAACTTTCCACAATTGCTTATCTGGAAAAAAAATTGACCCTTTTTCCCTGAAGGCCCCAAAAGGCTAAGTCTGACTGCCCTGTGCTCTTCCAGCTTTCTGAAGAACAGGAGGGAAATTATAGCCTGTAATAGTACCAGGTTAGAGATGAAGTAGGAGAAGGAGAACCAAAGATGGCCACTTTCAGTCCTTTTTTGGGAAATTATCAAGATCTTCGGTGTGCAGGGTAGGTAGGTAAATAAAATAATGACTTTGGTATGATGTTAGCATTGATGGATGAGCTGATGGAAAAAGGTAGACAAAAAAAAGAAAGGAATAAAAAATTCTTCCCCATAACTTTGGAGGGAGGAAAAGCAAAAATGATATGAAAAAATCAGAGGAAGGAAGCAAAGTACACCAAAGCCTTTAATGTGTCTCCCATCTGGTTCTTTCTCTGCTCGCTGACTATTCACAGGTTGTTTAGATGCAGTCTCATCCTCATGCACTGAAGCCAGGCAGTCTCTCTCTACCATATGCCAATCCATGCATGTAAAGTTTTCTCATGCAAGAAGTGTCAGGAAATCAAATTTTATAATATTTAATCTGCTTCAGATCAATCTCATTAGCCAAAAAATAACAAAAAATGTACTGAGAGATTGTTGGGTGGATTAAGTTCATCGTATTACTTGATGTTCACAATAATGCATATTTTGACACACATATTATTAGCTTTACTATGTAGATAAAAACACAGCAGTTTCTAGAGGTTGAATAACTAGCTCAAATAGCCAGTAATCAATTGAAACAAGAAAATAGGTTATTCTAGTTTACTGCTTCTTCAGGTCTTTAAATATTTAATAACCTTGAGGAATTGGAAGGCAGTCGCTTAACCAACTGAGCCACCCAGGCACCCCGAGGAATTGAAGGATTTTAGAACTTCATCTTAAAGGACATTATAACCCAGTGATTTAGAGCTTGTCTACATCAGCGGTATGCCCAGTGTTGACCAAGCTGCCCTCAAGAGCTAACCTGTACCAATCTATAGCAGGAGATAGCTGGTCATATCTCTAACCTTCTCCCTGTACATACACTTGGACAACCCTTAGAGAAGGATACAAGTTGCATTCACATCCTCCACTGTTTAATTCATCCTACTAGTTGTGCTGCATAGTTATGATTTTGGTGAAGTATAAATCATCATTTTTTATGGACACTTTTTTTAGATATATTTATTTATTTTAGAGTGAGGGAAGGAGGGAGGGCAGGAGGGGGAGAGAGAGAACGAGTGCATGGTGGAGGGGCAGAGAGGGAGAGAAATTCTCAAACAGACTACACACAGCATGCTCAGCCATGTTAGGGGCTTGATCTCAGGACCAGGAGATCACCACCTGACCTGAAACCAGCAGAAGGATGCTGAACCAACTACACCATCCAGGCGCCTCTATTTGGACACTCGTTCAGTTCAGAAATTTTTTTCGTTTAGTTCACATTCAGAAAATTTTTCTGGTAATCCAAGGTCATGAGGATATTCTATATTTTACGCCATTTTTTTTAACTTTTACATCTCACATATAGCTCCAAGATCCATTTTAAATAAATCTGTACCAGTGTGATGTATAGATAAAGGGTTTTTTGCCTTTTTTGTTTTATTTGTTTTGTGGGGTAGGTAAAGATGCCCAATATTTCCACTATCATTTGTTGCAAAAACTATTTTTTCACCACTGAATTGACTGCAGACTTTTGCTGCGATTACTTGACCATGTATGTACAGAGCTACCACTGGGCTCTCTAGTCTGCTTTGTTGGTCTTCTGGGATATCTTTATGAAAATACCACATCATTTTGAACACAGCAGTTTTGTAACATCACTGAAATCAGATAGTATAAGTTCTCCAAATTCGTTCTTTTTTAATGTTCTGGGACCTAATTTAAGGCTCTTGTATTTCCATAGGAGTTTTAAATCAATTTGCAAAAATTTTGAATATGTGCCTGTAATTTCGTTTGAGAATGCTTGAATCTGGAGATTCCTTTGGGGAGAATTCAGCTCTTAATAATGTTGAAACATCTGTCCACAAACACAGTCTTTTTTCTACTTATTAAGGTGTTTATATTCTTTTAATGAATATTTTACTTTCAGAGTACATGTTTTCCTTATATCTTGCTACATTTATTCTCAATTATTTTATAACTATAAGACATTACAAATAGGATTTTTAAAATCCAATTTCTATTTGTTAGTTACTAGTACAAACTATGAAATTGAATTATGTATATTGATGTTATTACTTGAAATTATGCTAAACTGACATTACAAAGTAAGAGAACTAAATTTATCTGTACTCAAAGTGAAATGATTGCTTATATAAAAGTTCTGAATGTCTGTGTGTGTCTGCTAATATAATAGTGTTATATACACTTGCCTCCAAAGTAGTAATAAAGCAGTTATAATTATTATGGTCATATAAGGAAGATATTACTAGTTCAGTGCTGTTAACTATAGCAATAGAGAGCATGGGTAAGAACTTGGAGGAAAATCATTAACTAGTATAATCTGAAGTAATCTTGGCTCTGCCCTTAATTAGCATCTTGATCTTGGCAGGATCTTTAACTTCTCTATGTTTCCATTACATAATGTATAAAATAAGTATAAAACAATAGCAAGAATTATCCTACAGGTTTGTGATGGGGATTAAATCAGAAAATGTCTGCAAAAACACTCAGAGCCACTATATATTCAATTATAATAAATACTCTTATTGTTATTATTACCATCAATCTAATTCTCTGACACTCTTTCCTCATCTCAAAATGGATGGAATAATACCAACCACACAGGAGGTTATCAGTCTTCAATTTTATTAAAGTATACATATACATATATATATATACACACACACACATACATATATGTATACTTTAGATTATATACTTTATAATATAATTTATAATTTAGAATCCTTTAGTATTATAATACTATTTCTAAGGACCCTACAGAAAGAATGAGTCATAAGAGAATATTTTGAACAACTCTATGCTAAATTTAAAAAGACTGACAATGCCAAGTATGGGTGAGGTTGTAGAGAAATGGTAACGCTCATATATTGTTGGTGGAAATGTAACAAAACACCACCACTTTTGGAAACACTTTGGTGGTTTCTTAAAATGCTAACATACACTTATCATATAACTCAGCAATGCCACTCTTAGGTATCAATCCAAGAGAAATGATAATCTATGTCCGCACAAAGGCTTGCACATGAATGTTCACAGCTCATCATTCACTATGGCCATTACCTGGACACAATTCAAATGTCCATCAGCTAGTGAATAAGTATACAAAATGTGGTAGAGCCATACTGTGGAATACTGTTCTTTCTAAAGAGGAACAAACTACCGATAATACAATGTGATAAACATCTAAAACAGTTTGGTAAACGGAGAATTAATGCTGTCTTTTAAAAGTCTGTTTCTCTCCTGGTTATGCTATGTGGCTTCACAAATGAATCAAGGGAAAATCTGATGTGTCCTTGAGATTCCCTACATCTCTGACCAAAGCTCTGCGGATTCCTTCATGTCTCAGCAGTTGCTGTCAATGTGTATAAACCTTGGATCCTCAGTTCCATCCTGTACCCAGAAATGACAATTCCCACAGTAAATGTCATTGTTGCTGTTCGTCTCAGCTGAGTTTACCCCCTATTTTTAATCTCATTTATTTTAGTTCTTCTTCCCTTAGTAGCTGTCTAGAAACTGTGGGTAATGGCCCACTGCCCTTGGAATAAAGTCTAACTTTATGTAAGAAATTTGTTGTATAGGGGCGCCTGGGTGGCTCAGTCGTTAAGCGTCTGCCTTCGGCTCAGGTCATGATCCCAGGGTCCTGGGATCGAGCCCCGCGTCGGGCTCTCTGCTCGGCCGGGAGCCTGCTTCTCCCTCTCCCACTCCCCCTGCTTGTGTTCCCTCTCTAGCTGTCTCTCTCTCTCTCTGTCAAATAAATAAAATAAAATCTTTAAAAAAAAAAAAGAAATTTGTTGTATATAGAATTCATCATAAATTGACCAAAGCACACTTTTTTGATCTTAGAATTCACAATGATGGATGGGATCAATATGTTTTTGTCAGGTCAAACATGGCATAGATTCTTAACCTGTCATATTTTAATTGTGAGGTTTGGACCAATGGCTTCAAGTCCATGAGCCTTCTTGAATTAACTAATCTGCACATTTTGGATAAGCAAATGACTTAAAGTTGGTTTTACCACAATACACCCATTAGGAAGACCAAAATATGGGACACTGTCACCAACAAATGCTGGTAAGAATGTGGAGCAACAGGAACTCTCCTTTATTGCTGGTGGGAAAACAATATGGTGCAGCCATTTGGGAAGACAGTTTGTCAGTTTCTTACAAATCTAAACATATTCTTACTGTAGTCCAGCAATCTCACTCCTTGCCATTTACCCAAAAGTGTTGAAAACTTATGTCCACCAAAAAACCTGCACATGGATGTTTCACAGCAGCTTTATTCATAAAGCTTTGTCCATACAATTGGAAGCAGTCTGATGGGTTAGCAGCCTAAGATGTGTAACATGAGCAATATAAAATGACTCTGAAGTCTAAATGGCTCTTTGCTTTTATAACCCTATAGTCATTTTATACCATAATTTTAAAGGCAACATGTTATCATCAATGCTGTTGTATAAAAATGAGCAGAATTCCAATTCTTAATAAAAATATGTTAGAATTTATAGATAGGGAATATATATATATATATGGTAGCATAATCTGTGGTTAGGTTTTCTCTTTTTTGCACACATTTCTCTTCCTCTCAGTGCAGAATCTATCATTCATTGCAATTTACTCTTTTCTTTATTTGGTAAGTAATCCTTGCTGAGATCATCCAAAATGTCTTTTGACCTTTGTTTCCATTGAATCAATGATGAGATTCAAGCATACTTATTTCTTACCTGAAATAACTTTTCTACTACACAATTTCCTGATGGCATTTTTCATTTGCTCATTTCTTAAGGCATAGATTAAAGGATTTAACATGGGCGTTATCATGGTGTAGAACACTGCAACTGCCTTATCAATAGATAAAGTAGTCACAGGTCTCAAGTACACAAATATGCAGGGCACAAAGAATAGGACAACCACTGTGATGTGGGAGACACAGGTGGAAAGGGCTTTGCGCCTTGCCTCCGAGCTATGGTTCCTTAGGGAGTGCAGGATGACCGCATAGGAGATGATCAAGAGGAGGAAGAGTAAGACACAAATGAAACCACTGTTGGCAGCAACGAAGAGCCCTAGAGTGTGTGTATCAGTGCAGGCAAGATTGAGCAAAGGGTTCAGATCACACAAAAAGTGATCTATGACATTAGGGCCACAGAAGGGTAAAGGAATGATAAAGAGGATCTGTATGGCTCCATGAAGAAAGCCTCCAACCCACGCCACTCCCATTAGCAGGCCACACACCCTCCGATTCATGATGTTCGTGTAGTACAATGGCTTGCAGATGGCCACATAGCGGTCATAGGCCATCACAGTGAGCAGGATGACATCAGCACCTCCAAGGAAATGTTCCCCAAAGATTTGGGTTATACATGCATTGAATGTGGTGGTCTTCTTTTCACGGAGTGAATCTATGATCAGTTTAGGGTTATTGACAGAAGAATAGCAGGCATCAATGAAGGAGAGATTGGCAAGGAAAAAGTACATGGGGGACTTCAGTAATGGGCTGGTAGTGATAGTGACCACGGTGAACACATTTGCTACTACAGAGACGATGTAGATGACCAAAAACACAACAAATATGATTTTCTGCATCTTTGGATTCTCTGTGAGCCCCAGTAGAACAAACTCTGTCACATTGTTCCTATTCACCATTATTTCATAGTGTGATTAATTGCACTACCTGAAAAAAAAATCACTTTTGTTTAATGTAACCTTGAATTGATTAAGCTTCTTCATCTAGTAAATAAAAAATACCTAGATTCTAATGATTTGTGAATTCTCATGAGGTTTTTTGAGATAGAAAAGAAGTTTTGAGTTCTTTAAGATTATTTGATTTATCTCCTTGGAGAAATTTCTGTTGAGTATGGACGTGGGGAACTTTGTAAACACACAGGTGGGAGATCATTTGTGCACACTTCATCATCTGAGGTGACTAAGCCTAACATGAAGTAGTAGATCCTACACATAGTGGCAGCTAAGGAAGAAGGGAGAGGTAGTTTATGATGTAAAGGCTATGAATGCGGGGTTAAGAAATTTTCCCTCTATCCTTAAGAAATGAGGATCCATAGGCAGACAGTGAAAATATAGGAGGAAAAGTGAAGAGAAATTTGAGGAAGGGGGAATAAGGGATATAATTTTAATAAAGAACTTCATAAGACATTTGCTGATTTAATCCCCACCACAATCCTGTAAGGTAATTCCAGCTATTTCTTTTATACTTATTTTATACTTTATGTAATAGAAACACAGAGAAGTTAAAGATCCTGCCAAGATCAAGATGCTAATTAAGGGCAGAACCAAGATTAGTTCAGATTATACTTGTTCATGTTTTTCCTCCAAATTCTTACCCATGCCCTCTGTTATAATAACAACATTGAACTAGTAATTTCCTTTTTATATGACCACAATAATTGTGATTGCTTTATTAGTACTATGGAGGCAAGTGTATGAAACCCAATTTCATTAGGAGACACACACACACACACACACACACACACTGACATGCTTGAACTCCCAGTTTTCAAATAAAATGTTGTACTGTATTCATTGAAAGATCTTTTTATCTTGACTTCTCCCTCAGACCTAGTTCTCCCTACTACAGTCCATCTCCAAAGCAAACCATCTGTTGAATGTCGAAAAGGATTTCCACTGTGGTTAAGTGTTTTGTTTTGAAAATCAAAAAGACCAGGGTAGAATTCTGATTTTTCCCCTTGCATTTTCTTTTACCTGGAGTACCTTTCTAGCACAATACATCCTTGTTTCCTCATCTATAAAGCAAGATTAATAATATCCATATCCAGGTTTTTTTTTTTTTTAAAGATTTTATTTATTTATTTGACAGAGAAAGACACAGCGAGAGAGGGAACACAAACGGGGAGTGGGAGAGGGAGAAGCAGACTCCCTGCTGAGCAGGGAGCCCGATGCGGGACTCGATCCCGGGACTCCAGGATCATGACCTGAGCCGAAGGCAGTCGCTTAACCAATTGAGCCACCCAGACGCCCCAATATCCAAGGTTTTTATGAGAATTTTTATGAGAATTGTCAAATATCAAACTGATATTTGAACATATCACCACGGTGTTGTACACACAGAGGACTTTCATCTATTTTGTAACTGTGTAGCCACCTAGGATATAGGAATTATTTGACATATTGAGTGATAATGATGCAATAATTTAACTGTGCAAGAAGTTCAGGATGAATCTTCTCCAATTTTACTTTTAAAGAAGACATGCAGACTCGGGTGCCTGGGTGGCTCAGTCATTAAGCGTCTGCCTTCAGCTCAGGTTGTGATCCCAGGGTCCTGGGATCGAGTCCCACATCGGGCTCCCTGCTCTGCAGGAAGCCTGCCTCTCCCTCTCCCACTCCCCCTGCTTGTGTTCCTGCTCTATCTCTCTCTCTGTCAAATAAATAAATAAAATCTTTAAAAAAAAAAAAAGAAGACATACAGACTCAATTATCTGTAGCTTTATTACCAGAAAGAATTCTCCATTCATGCTTGGACTACACAGCTGATGATATCTTTCATTTATTATTCATACTTATGTCTCTTCTATGTGAGAAGTGTGTTTACATTTTGTTTTCACTCTCGTGTTTAGTCCAGATTATTAAACTAAATGTCTCACTGAAAAAGCATGCTGTTTGGTGACGAAGAGCAGGGTCTTACAATTGGCTTCAATTCCTCGAGTTTCAAATTTTTCATCTGTCAGCTTAGGTGAATGATATTTACCAACTATCTTGAAGAAATGGGGTGAGGATGAAATACTCTAATACTGTATTTGAAGGGACTGAAACAATGATTAATATATATGGGAAGTAACAATCTTTAAGATGCATCAGCAATATGTAAAACTTACCTTACAGACTTAGAAGATCTTAATGATGTTTGGGGGTGTTCAGAAATAATCGCATCTTCAAACTGACATCCTCTCAGATAAGTAACATTCAATATGAAAGATATGACACACCCAGTAAGAGACTATTCAAATAATTTGATATCAAATCAACAGTTTTTAAGAAAGTGTTTTTATCAATCAAAAGCTTCCCTTCTAGCCTAAAGCCTCAAATTGTTTTTACAGAACACTTGGGATTTGAATTTAGAATGGATTATTTTGAAACACTATGGAGAAGTCATCTACAGATGGCTCTGGTCCCATAGACAAGGTGCAAGAAGTATGGAGTAAAAACATTCAAATGTGTCATTCTAATCTTAATGAATCTTGCTCTGCAAATGTGATCAACAAAAATCATTTTCACCTTGCACTGCAGGGATATTTAAAGAGGTTTCCATAAAGGTTCAAGGGCTTTTGTGTTGCTACTTTCTCTCCCAGGAATTAATTATCTCCTCTGACAGAAAGGCTTTGTCTTATAAACCATGCTGAAGAGACATTTTGACAAACATCCAAATTTGAATAGGGAATTGAATGCCCAGTACTTGGTACACAAACATGTCGGAATCCCCTTCCTCTAAATAAACTTCAGTTTCTAAGAAACCTGAATGTCAGGCAAATAGAAAAATGGCATAATTCCAGTGTGGTGACCTGTGATGTAGTTAACCTGTTGACTCGTGTCACAGAGAGAACTTCTGCCTCCTTAGCAATAATAAAACTTCTCTGGAACCTGCTACTGATTGCTCGAGAGCTGGAGCAGTGAGGGCATGAAATCAATGGCAGCCGCTTTAAGGTTCTTGACTCCAAAAGCCTTTTTTGTTTGTTTGTTTGTTTTTACATTCTTCAAGAGGCAGGAAGTAAATAGAAACTTGAAAAGCTCCCAATTAGTTATCTTTGGGATTCATGGTTTGGGCAGTATGGAATACCGGGCAACTTTAAACTTGTAGAGAGAGCTCAAAACACAAGACGAGTCCCAGTTGTTCCACATCTTTGTCAGCTGGTACTGTTATTTCCTTTGAGTCATTCTAGGAGACCTGAAGTGATGTATTGTTGTGGTTTTAATTTGCTTTCCTGATGACTAATGATGTTGAGATTTTTTTTTCATATTATTATTGGCCATTTGTATACCTTCTTTTGTATACTTTTGTTCAAGCCCTTTGCATAATTTAAACCTAAGGGATCTGGTTTCCTTATGACTAATTTATAAATTTTCTTTACAAAAAATACAGGTCTTTGTCATATGTGTGTTGTGTATATATACAATATTTTCACCTAATCCGTGGATTGCCTCTTCATTTTTAAAAATGGTGTTACCTGATAAGCACTGAGTTTTAAAACTTGGACAAATTCCAATTTTTATTTTTTTCTCATTGTTCATGATTATTGTTTTGTATATAATAAATATCATCTACCCCCAAGGTCAAAAGGATTTCTTCTGGAATTTCTAGGATTTAGCTTTAACATGTAGACCTCTGACTCATTTTGAGTTCATTTTTGTGTATGGTATGAGGTGAGGTTGTGGTTTAGATTTTTTTTCTCATATGGATATGCAATTGATCCAGTATAATTTGTGGAAAAGTCTATACTTTCCCCATTGAATTACTTGACATCTTTGTAAAAATTCATATAATTAGGCCTATATCTAGGCATTCTGTTGGTTTCAAGGTCTCAGTGTTTATCCCTAAGCCAATACCACACAGCACTGATTATGAGTTTTATAGCAATTCTTGAATTTAAGTAGAGTAAGCATCCAAACTATGTAGTGTATGTGTTTGTTTGTTTTTTCTTTGAATATGTTTTAATCTTCAAGATTCTTTTAAATTTGTGTATTTCTATAGAAATTTCAGAATAGAATTGATAATTTCTTTAAAAATACTGTTGAGATTGTTATTGGAATTGTACTGAAAGCAGAGAATGACATGGTAAAAGTGGAGTCTTTTAACCCAATGACAAAGTATATTTCTCCATTTTTCTATTTAATTTCTATTGGCAGTGTTTTTTAGTTTTCTTTTTTTTAAGATTTTATTTATTTGTCAGAGATAAAGAGAGGAACAAACACAAGCAGGGGGAGTGGCAGACAAAGGGAGAAGCAGGCTCCCCACTGAGCAGAGAGCCCCACGTGGGGCTTGATCCCAGGACCCTGGAATCATGACCTGAATCGAAGACAGATGCTTAACTGACTGAGCCACCAATGCGTTCCTCTAGTTTTCATATACAGGTTTTGAATATACTTTTAGAATTTATTCCTGGGGCACCTGGGTGGCTCAGTTGGTAGAGCGACTGACTCTTGATTTTGGCTTGGGTCATGATCTCAGGGTCATGATATTGAGCCCTGTGGAAGGCTCTGTGCTGGGCGTGGAGTCTGCTTGAGAGTCTATCTCTCTAGTTCCCTATGCCTCTCCCCTCACTCTCTCTCTTTCTCTTTTAAAAAAAAAATTCCTCAAATTTTGTTTTACAGATTTTATTTATTTTGTTATTTTAGAGAGAGAGAGCATGCACAAGTGGGAAGAGGGACAGCGGGAGAAGGAGAGACAGAAAATCTCAAACAGACTCCATGCTGAGTGTGAAGCCTGACACAGGGCTCGATCTCACAACCCCAAGATCATGAGCTTGAGACAAGACCGAGAGTTGGATACTCAACCAATGGAGCCACTCAGGTGCCCCTCAAATTTTACGTTTTAAAATAGTATTCTACATACAGTTGTTTCTAATTTTAATTTCTAATTGTTGCATTTACAGAAATATATGAGGTATTTTTTATTT